CTTTTACTGGATGAAAACTCAAACTTCCTTTTAACACTGTAATTGTAATACATGTCAATCATGCATTGCATTCCAGAAAATATTGGCGATATAAGAGCGATGTCATTAGCTTGTACAAGGACATCCAACATTTATCAGCTTTTACTGACGTAGTAGGTATATCAATAAGATCGTTTATATCAATCAGATAAAGTTTCGCTGATAAAGCACTGCCTTGTCGAACGCACTTCTCAAGGTTGAAAAATCTATAGACAACGTTATTACATCTCACACAACTTTTAATATCACTATACATTTGATCTAGCAATTTCCACAAATTGCCATGAATTCCATAGTCATTGATCTTTATCTTCAGTCCAATATGGTCAACCGTATCAAACGCCCTCTTGCTGTCAAGAAATGTCACATGTAAAGAAGTATCTCTCTCTCTCTCCTTGTAGTGATGTACAGTTTCTTGTAGATTAAACGAGGCGTACATACTGCTAAGGAACTTCTGATATGCCATTTGTTGAGTATTCGGAAAATTTATCAGTTGTTTATTGGGTCTATAATCCAGCAATTTTTCAAACACTTTTGATATGCAAGGTATAAATTTAGGTATATACCGCGGTATGATTCGATATCAGACTTCAACTTTTTTTTCCATCCTTAAACAACGGAATTACTACACTTGTTTTTCAATTATACATTGATCCAAATAATAATTTTCCACCGTAATTGAGATGCTCATAGGACATCATCAAGCCCACAAGCTTTCCCATTTGGCAAGTGGATCACAAGTTTCGATAGTTTTTCAAAGTACACTGGTCTAATCGTGTCATTATCACATCGATTGCGAATAAGATTCAAAAGTTTAATGTTGACTTTATCTTCAGTATGATCTGAAGTTTTGGCGATTGCTTCAAAAACATTGGCAAATTCTGGAAAAACAAGTTTCTTGTTCAATTTCAGTAGTATATCAGACGTATTCCTTGATCAACGACTATTTATAATACACCATGCTTAGCGTTGATCTACGTCGATACATTTTTCAATATCATTAGACATTTCGGCTACATACTCGTCATAAACTCAACGAAGTAAATTCTTAAAACAGTTCTTTGAATTTTTATATGTCAAATACGACGCAAAATCTTTGCCACACGGTCGATGGTCACTGATCCATACATTGCGAAGTTGACAACTCCGTTAAGTGATCATTCCAATATGGTGTCAAGTATTTTTTATGCTTAACGATCGGAAGGGTATCTCTTGCAGCTAGAACGAGATAGTTGACTATTTCAGAATACTATTTTTCTATGTTAGTTTGATTCGTATCTACTGTACATAGGTTTTGAGAAACAGCAAACGCATTATCGGTTAATAACCGTTTCACAGATGATATCGGATATGTTCCTTATGTCGTAACTACAATACCCTCCCTTTTCACGAATGTGACTTACCGAATTAGACTATTTACCGAATTTGTAATAACTTAAGCAACACGACGGGTGCCACATGTGGAGCAGGATCTGCTTACCCTTCCGGAGCACCTGAGATCACCCCCAGTTTTTGGTGGGGTTCGTGTTGCTTAGTCTTTGGTTTTCTATGTTGTGTTATCTGTACTATTATTTGTCTGCTTGTCTTTTTATTTTTGGCCATGGCGTTGTCAGTTTGTTTTCGATCTATGAGTTTGACTGTCCCTCTGGTATCTTTCGTCCCTTTTTTAAACTTCCTTCAATAGAGCTTTGATCCAATCTATGTTTGTTGAAATGATGGACAGATTTAGACGAGTTTGAGTAGCCTATATTAAAAGTGAATATAATAGGAAATTGATTAAATAAGTTCAGTCCATGATCATCAAGAATATTTACATTTTCCGGTTTGAAATGCGTGTTATCTGGAACAATTATATGATCTATTGTTGAGCAAGGACTATTTTCTCAGCCCTGAAAAATGTGTAAAGGCCCTTTACAAAAAGTCTTTGCGTTTAATGAAATTAAGGTAAATTCATCTAAAACTCTTCGCAAGAGTTTGCTTTGATCGTCTTGAACACCACTGACACGTGTTCCTTGAACTTTCGCATTAAAAATCACCAGCAAAAATTACAATGCCATATTAACTACTTAGTATATACGGAATACAGTTCGTGCAGTAAATGTATATATTCTTTAAGCAATTCAATGGAAAGAGAAGGAGAAGGTAAGTATACACAGAAAAAGAAAACTGTCATATCATCGGACAGATACATTTTAATACCAATAATCCTATCAGAATCAATATCAATTCCATGCACAACATAACGATCAATATTTGACGAGACTTACAATGCAACACCTTTTCTGTAATAAGAACATTTCCGTGTCGTTGGTAAAAGTTTACCAACGCTTTTCGCATAAATTTTGTATTTGCAATCAATCTGTTGAAGAAAGTGCATGATCGATTTTTTCCAATCAATTAGTTAGATAAGGAACAGCCAACATGACGCCTTTACAATTCCAACACATTATGTTATTTGTCTGTCATTTTTTGAGATACTAATGAGTTGCTTATTCATTATCAGAGGTTCCTTATGGATCAACTTTGGCATTTTCATGTTTCACGTTAAATCTACTTTTCAGAATCCATCGTTTCTTGCTCGAATACTAGTAGGCCAAAAAACATGATCAAGTATTATTCGACTGTCATAGCACACAACATTAAGTTGAGCGGAAAACGACGATCCATATCGGCTATTATAAAATCTCAAAATCGTGTAACGTACACCGTTTTCTTCTTAGTCTATGCTGATTCCGCTTACAAAATAACGATCGACTCGATTTCTTCGACGACCATGAACATTTGGATTTCCCCGAATTGACATCATATTGGCGTCATTTGCAGTGTGTACTGGTATTTTCTGAAGTACGAGGTCTTTTTGTAAATTTTTTTTTACTTCATTTTTACTTTTGTTGAGACTGGTTTTAACATGTTCCGACTCAATCAATTTGGAGTTTGAAGTCTGAATTTTCGGTTGATCGATTTGTGCAGTTATTCACACTATTGTTGCTCAAGACCCTAAGGGTTTGACGGACAACTTCACATTCAATGTTTTGTTTAATATATGTAGGTTGGCTTTTATTGCGTCTAGAAAAGTTTTCTCGTCACTAAATTTAAGGTTTGTCTCTTAATTGTTAACATTTTTCCTAAGATCGTACACTGATTTACAACAAGAGGCTACTAAAGTTTCGAGATGTTGATATGCTGGATCATTATATTTTAGCTTTTCATTTATTAGCTCAACTTTCGATTCCAGTGCGCATACATCGTTGTTGTAGTATTTTAAGTACGCAACGAATCGTTTCGAACGTCCTGTCGTAAATCTTTGACTGAGGCTTTCAATAGTGTTATGTCCTTGACATGTTGTTGCTGACCTTGCTTTAAGTCGGCTAGAGAACTAGCTAAATCGCTGACTAACTGCGACAATTGTGTAACGTCGGAAGTTAAGTTCGATTTCTCGACTTAACCACTTCCGACAAAATGCTGACGCTACTCTAATAGGGAATAATTTTCCATCTCTAATTATTTTCATTTGATTTTTTGATTTTGGAGATTCATAGTTCAATTTTGTATTGTTTTTTGGTATTGTTGTTACAGCTTTGTTTAAAAATTCACTGTACTGTCTTGTATGTATTCTCCCATAAGCTGATCACGGTCGATGCGACTGATATTTTCAATTCATTTCAATTCATTCACAAATGACCATGTTAATGCACTCCTCAGAACATAACAATCACGTGATAGATTTACGGACCTTTGTATTTCGTTCAAGTCTACGTTTAAGGTTACTTCGTTCGAAAGGAAAAGCCATTACAGTTTTCGCAGACTTAAGAAGTTCAATTCTCAGAATTTCAAGCTCGTCAGTATTTTCATTGGTAATTTTTATTAGTTTCAATGTAAAAGTATCTTTGGTTTGAGACAAAAGGCCATCTAGACTCTGTAATATGTCTGTTAAAGAGTTACAATCGTTGGGGGAGATGTCTGCGTGACGGAACCCAGGAACTAGTTGCAAAAGAGTTGAGACTGATAAGAGTGACATGCAGAATTGTAAAATAAAATCATAATTTTCAAATGAAACTGGTTGTAAAGTTGTAAATGTCTGTGACTTCATTGTTTTTATAAGAATGATCACCTTTCTGACATCACAAATGTTGTACATATAAATAAGAAGATGTGGTATGAGTGCCAATGAAACAACTCTCCATCCAAGTCACAATGTGTAAAAAGTAAACAATTATAGGTCAAAGTACGGCCTTCAACACGGAGCCTTGGCTCACACCGAACAGCAAGCTATGAAAGGGCCCCAAAATGACTAGTGTAAAACAATTCAAACATGAAAACCAACGGTCTAATCTATATAAAAAACGAGAACGAGAAACACTTAAGAACCACATGCATTGTAAATAAACTGATCACTGCTCACTCACTCCGATAAACAAAGTTTTGTTTGGTTTGGTTTTGAAATGTGACTTTTAAGTTTTTATAAAGTCAAAATGTGTATTTGTCTAGGATAATGTGTGATTATGGAATATTTTCATCAAATCCTGTATAATCTTCTCTGATATAACACATAAAATATTCGAAAACTTGAAGTGCGAAAGAACAAGCAACCATACCACAAAGGGACCTAATATTTACGTAAGATTTTTCAAAATGTAAAAAAAAAAAATTTTTTCTGTTATAGTGAATATCTTGGCAGCATAATAAACACAATGTGTTATGTATGTCACTAAATACGAGAAGATAAAAAACTTCTACGGATCGATTACAGTAGCGTTCATTTGACTGTGTTGGGTGTTGAAAGACTCTGCCACGTCATATCGGAATGTGGATATTAAATCTGTACCCTTTTGTTTGTAAGGAGAGTGCGTTAAAAAACCCTTGCAACAACTCTTGAGGTGTCCCGTAGGTAGTCTGTTGCTACTCCTTCTAAAATATTTTGAATATTCATTTCACTGATTACATTTTGTTAAAGAAATTAAGTCATTATTATCCATTTTATTGCATTTATTTTGTTCGTATGCTCATAATACACATAGTGAACTTTGTTTTTCATAATTTCGATGTGTTACACATACGTTGTATTTTTTAATAAAAAGACGACTCATAAAGAAGTAGTTGTTTTTATAAATATAACACAGAGGAAAATATTCTTAGATAAATTTACATAAACAGTGGGATTTCGGACAAAATGGACACGTATCTTGACACCATTTCTCCATGCCGACTACATCTCTGTAATCTGGTGAAGCCTCGCATGTTCTAGCTTTTGGGTTACTTGTTGGAAGTGGTTTAGGTAAAAATGAAAGAGGATCTTTTATGGGTATTTCACCAAAATCATATCGTTCATTAGAATTGTAAATTCCAATGTCAGCACAGTTGTAGAATTGTTCCTGTGGTCCACATCCGACACAGCAACCACTGTCATTACAACCCCAACTGTTGCCTAGGAAATGCAAATATCATTGTTAATGTCATATATCATAATTTCCTGAAGAACAACTTAGATGTTAGATTTTTTTTTATCTAGTTTTTTGTTTTGTTGGAAATATTTTTATTTGGGGTGGTGGTGTTTTGTTTTGGTTTTGTTTTTTGTTTTTTTCTTTCGGGTAACATAGATTCTGTCTGACGTCATAAGATTTATTTCATATTTTTTCAGTGTCTGAAATCAAAGTGGTTAAAAGTGAATTTAAGACTAGTATAGATTGGAAGGTAAAACAAAATACTAAATCTTAAAAAACAAGCATGTGGTTTTGAATCAAAATAGCTCTGTTAAATATTCTGTTTATAACTGTTTATTTTAAGAAAAATAAAAACTAAAATGTACATGCATTACATAACAATGTAAAATATGTTGAAAGAAACTAAAACATTTTTTAAGTTTTATATATGATTGCAAGTGCATAAACTTTTATTTAAAAAAATCTATTCCGAACCTACCAGTATTATATTTCCATTGTAATATGCACCTTCCGCATGTAAGACCAGGTGGCAGTCTAACTTTGACCTCAATATCACCAGATGCTTGACCTAATTCATACCGAATCCCTCGGCCATCTATTTCAAGAATGTGATTTTCTAGGCAAGTATCCAATGGTCCTTGGAAGTTATCACGTGGACAAATTTTGAATTCGAACCATCCTTTGTGATTGGATGTTATTCTGACAGTCAAAATAACATCTGAACCTGAAGTATAATTTCTAGAAATAAATCCGCTATCGTAGAGTCCATTATCCTCGTGCTGTCTGACGTCATCAAATGGGTCACCGCACGATCCACAACGACCATTTTTCTCTTTCCATTGATACTGTAATTAAAATGTAATATATATAGATGCTAAATTTTAAAAAGTTAATTAAAAATGCGTTTTACTCATGTATGTTTCTGGATTCATAATAAGACAAGTATTGAATCTGTTAAAAAGAAATGGTGTTTTTGTGAAAAATTTGTAATAGAAAACTCATCAGAGTTTTCTTCAGAGAAAACTTTGATTAGATATACGTATATGTTCATTCACAATTGTATTAAACTATGCCTAATTTTTAAAAATAAATATGACATAAAATATCACTTACAATACGGAAATCCGTATAGTAATAAACTAACTAAAGATTTGGTTGTGTAAGATGGATTCCATCAAAGCCAATTTAGTGTTTTCAATCAGTTAATAGTTGATTTATGTTTGTTTAGTTTGTCGAGTGGCAAATATTTCATATATGTTCAGGGGAAAAAAATCATCAAAAATACCAGGGCGAGACCAAATTAACAATAAATCTACTGAGTTTAGTTCTGTAAAGTGATTCGGCCGAGAAGAAGGTTGGACAATTTTGACTGCAGCAAGAAAAACAAGATATGCTAAAAACTAACCCTACCACAACCTATATCTACGGACCCCTCAGAGTTGTTAGAATGAGTCCTTAATATTCAAAGAAGGCGATATTTTCTTCAGACGAGGCTTTGGATTTAGCGTTATCATTCTGACCCAAAACGTACACACCTTGCCTAATCACTTATTTCATGAATCTAGACATCAAACTTCAGTTGATTAATAAGTATGATTCGTTTTACTTCATAAAATAACTAAGATTATAATACGCTTTTAACATTGTTTTAGATAAACATATAGTGCAAGAGGAATATATGTTTATTTTAAAAGTTATCTGCCGCGATCCAACATACCCATATTTACCAAAGGTATTCGAAATTATCACTACAGAATCTACCTATTGAATTAATTGATAATCAGTTCTCGAAATCTGGTACTTCTAACGTTTCCAAGAATTTTTACATTACTGGCTTTCAATGTTTAAGTTTGGAGAGTGTGTGGATGGGGGTTTACAGAATAGAGAATAATGTGCAAAAAATATAAAGATTAGAAAAAAATGGACCAAAATAATAAAGAATATAAAAATGAGGTGCTTAAATATAAAGAACAGGGAATAGTGCGCAAAAAGTATAAAGAATAGAGAAAAATGGCCTAAAAAATTAAAGAATACAGAATCGAAGGACCCCCCATACAGACCATCTTTGAACGTCCCCGTTGATTCTAAATCCAGAAAAGTGTGTCGGACGCACAGTATGTATAGTGTTATTTTAATTCAAAAATACATTTCAAAGTAAGAATTGTAATGGTTTATTAGAAGGAAAACATTTCGTTTTTTTTTTTATTTTTATTTATGTTTGACCAGTACAAATCGGTCAGGTGGATTACCTTTGGGCTACGACTTATATAGCAGGTATATAATTGTACCTTTAACTTGGCAAATACGTATATCATCACGTTACGATATTTTTAATATCAAACTGTATCTAATTTTTTTATAGATGCGTGCAGCACTTATATAATATAATATTTACGACATAGCGCTATTCCATCATCGAGTTTTAAAGTGGAAATATTTACTACATGTACTCAATATCAAATCTTTTTTTTTTAAACAGTAAATATGCTAGCATTTCTTATGCTTTTAGTAACGACCCCGCTGCTATTATAATTTCCTCCGTTCAGATTTACTGATGATGAAATATATTATCTTGGTTCTGTATGCAAAGGTTTCAGAAGACTGGACATGTTGAGGTCGCGACGACTGTTTGCTTCAAGTTCACAAAATGGACAAACATCACAAAGCATTATATAATATATATTTATCAATTCACCACTGCATTTTTGAAATAACTATTATGCTATAATCTCAGTTTAGATTTGAAAGAAAGACTTTTAAAAACTTACTCCTTTAGACTTATTCGTACCGCCTAATTTGACTTTATGTTCTTTAAAGAGTATTTTTCGCAGCACAATTTGCCTTTGGCTCATGTTAAAAAATATATATATTTCTGGGCGGGATTCACTAAAAACGATGTATCATGCACCTTTTTGGCTCGGAATAAAATCCAAGAACGAGATACATTTCGTTTGTCTAAAATTAAAAAAAAACAACAACAAATACAAAAACAACAGAAATAGAAAAACTGGTACCTACCAATCTGCCTCCACAGTTCAGAGCATTATCGTTATAATTTGGCGGGAAATGTCCAGGATAAATTCTCCACAGTGAAGATCTCTGAGGTGGATCTAATAAAAACCCATGTCCATTCACACAAATTAAATATCCCAAGAGAAATATAGTGTGTTTAAACACCATCTTTTCTCAGTTTCATTTTCATCCGCCACCTCAGGCTGATGCATGATGGTAGTTAATGTTTTATCGCACCTGTCAACAAAACATAGTAAATTCTGGTGATCTATGTTTGATGCAGTTGAAGTTTAAACGTTAGATAAGACCTCTTTTTTGTGACACATGATTTTACTAATACAAATGCTTGTAGAAATGTACGGAACAATCAATTAATCTTAAATAATGTACTATATTGGATAGGCTATACAGTTATATAAAGTAGTGGCGATATTATTTATGTCCTCTAACAAATAAAGAGTTCAGGTCAAAATTCATCAAAAGGAGAGTATTAAGCCTTTACCGTATGATAGACGTCTAAAATGATAAGTCGTTTAACATTTGTTCCTATTAACCTTTCGCTCTATTTCTCCTACTAATATTATATATTTACAAGTATCATTTCCTGACAAATGCATATATCCTACGGCGGAGCTTTACGCAATCGTGATTGAAAGGGGTGTTGGTTTTTTTACATCGTAAGAAATATGAACATACTATACCAAGGAGGCAAATTTAACTCATATATTAAAAAAAACAACAGTCTACATAGCACAACATAGAAAACTAACGAGCAGCACGAACCTTACCAAACCCATCGTGTGTGTGTGTGGGGGGGGGGGGGTCTCTTGTACTCCTGTCCCTGAAGGGTAAGCAGACCTTGATCAACTTGTGACACCCGTCGTATTGCTCATATCAGTACAAACTCGAGACGCTGTTCAGTAAATGTATATTGGTATAAAAATAATTTCAGAGGTAAATGCCTGTGAATCAACTGTGTACATATATAAACTATTTAATCACTTGTACATAGTCCATTGCCTTCAAATCACAACCAAGTCCGGTGCTAGAAAATTGTCGCACATGATGTGATCGCGAAAAGTCCGTTTCTTAATCGTAATGCTTCATCTGAATATTTTGTTTTTATCTTACCTCCTAAAAAATTTCTAGGAAAATGATTGGTTAAAACAATCGCGTGGAGACCGTGTATATTTCATATGGGGTTAGTATGCGTGGTTTATTTTAATGCACGGTTAGTAGTGGTGTTACGTCCCTTTGTAAAAACAACAAGGTGTTGAGGAAAAATCTGAAAGGTTTCAACAGACGAAGAAATTGATGATGAACAATTGAAATAAATATAGAAAACACATTACATGCTAACAAATTATTTATTGTTGGCATTTGTTTTTGTATAGACCAATGTAAGTAGGTTCTTAATATTGAAGACTTGATCACTATTGAAGACTTGATCACTTTGATAGGCCACTAGTCTAATTGCCACATGTTAAGATAGTCGGTAAGATAAATTCGTTACACAGTGTGCTGGTGACCTAATACTATATGGGGTGAGAGCGAAGTGGAAAATTCTTGGTTTATGACAACATATTCAAGGGGATAATTACATAAAATGAAAGGAATCATATAATATAAAGAAGACATTTACAATTTCAAGCGTTACCATTTTCAATCTTTTCACCAGCCGTGTGAATGTTTTGATCACAAACAGTCCTGATCTGATCTCGATTAGTTCAGCAATACGGAAAAATTGCGAAAAGTCCGTCCCGATACCACGTCGTGATATTGTAAATGATATACAACGCAATGATCAAAGGTACAAATAAACGATAAAAATAGTAAAAAAAGCTGTTCGGAAAACTAAATGTACCAAATTTTTACTTTTTGTTGCGGAAGGACAAGGCTTTCGAATTTAATAGGTCTTAATAGTTTATGTCGAAATAAATGTGTAAGAGGCCATGATTTTATTATCACATATGAAAACAGCCTTTTATCGATGTCAGCTAAAATATCATCAGTCCGGCCATACGAGAGAAATTAGTTTATATAATATAGGGGATAGACCTGGGCTAAGGGGGATAATTCTCGCTTGAAAAAAGTCATGTTCATCAATGCTTTTAATGAAACATATAATAATCTCTGTTACTTAAAAGATTAGAAAATATTTATCAAAATGGTTGAAATAAACGTTCGAGTGATTTTTGAGAGTTATGATGAAGTTCTGTGCGAGTGATTATATATACTTAAATACAAACAGATAAAATCTTATATGACTACATCAATATAATGCATACAGAGTTACAGGACGAACTTCATTAAGAAACACATGTGTTGAGATGGTAAATGTTAATATTTACCATACATTTGTACATGTCTATACTAACTGTCATCAGCACTAAATTCTCAAAGTAATACATGACCGTTGTGTTTTAACAAATGATAAATATGATGCTTTGATTACATTTTCCCGGATATTAATATGAGAAACAATGTAAAAGGTGTTTGATAATAACAATAAAGAAAAACAAATATGACAGACGACAACCCGTCATTGTATGGTATAGATACCCTGCTTGTGTCAGGCACATACAGTATGTGGCGATGTTATATGTTTGTGAGTGTTCAACCTCACTGAACTGAAAGCTATTTTAAAAGCACATTTCAACAACGAGTGGTTGTCGTTTGTTTCTGTATATCATATTTGTTTTTGTCGTTTGTTTTCTCATTTGAATTGTTTGACATTTTGTGATGTCGGTGTCTTTTGTAGCTTGCTATGCGGTATGGGTTTTGCTAATTGTTGAAGGGCTTACGTTGAACTATATATTTGCTAACATCTACATCAGTTTGTCCCTGGTGGAAAATTTCTCATGAGCATTTATACCATATCTCTTTATTTTATATAAACAAAAACAAGAACAAAAAATTAACAAGTATTAATTTTAGAAAATATTTTCAATATATACAAAATCGATTTTTTTAAAGGAGTTTGGAAAAGGCAGCACTCTGAAAAGTACAAGTGTGCAAGGTAGGTCAATGAATAGCAAATACTGAACTTGAACTGTGTTTCTGAAAAATATATTCTTACAGTATATCGACGTTTTAATCAAATGAATTGTTGACACAGAGTTATGTCTGGCCTGTGTGAAGTTTCGAGTGTATAATGCAAGTGTTGCAACTTTAACAGTAAACTTCACAAACAAACACATCAAAGATACCAGGCTTAGATATGTACACCAGACGCGTGTTTTTTTCTAAAAAAAGATATATAGGGAAAATGCCTTTTTTCAACTTATTTTTTTTAGATTTTTCAATGGATGGCTATGTTCTTATATACGAAGAAAGACTAAAAACTAACATGATATTCAGGATTGTATACTGAATCCATACATGTATAGAAACACATATGTCACCATTCTTGTTTTAGATACATTGCTTCAAAGTTGACCGATACGCGTGACGGTACTGGATACAGAATAAAGTTATTTTTATTCAGAGGTATTGAAAAAATATGTAACGCGATTTGTTATTTTATTTTCATTCCCCCTGTCGTAAATTTCCGATTAATTCAATAAAACATTCTATCGAGTTAATTTTATTTCGTCCTAACTGGGTGCACTTTTAGCTTTTCAAAACTGAATCTTTAATTTAACCCTATAGCTATCAAACTAGAAAAGGGTGATGTCATCGCTGTATCCATGCATGAATAAAAGCAAGTGCTTCAAAAATTTGATTTGGTAAACGTCCAGTGGCAAATATTTCATGCATTTTCAGGACGATATAATGCAATTTGAAATAGTTGTGTCTAAAAAACACATTTGATGCAGCCGTCAAAAAATGTTAAACATTCTGTTAGTTGTGAAAATCATAAAGCAAATACATACTCCAAATAGTTATAGTCTGTATGGTGTAAACGTGTGGGTTGTGTGCGTAGTTAATAGGACAAACCTTGCAAACTGTATGCAAAATTACACATTGAAGAGACAAAGTTTAACATTCTGTCATTCGTGGAACATTATTAAAAAATTAAACCTGAGAATATTATATGCACCCTCAATATAGGTAAAGCATTTGGTGCAATATTAAAAAATAAAAATCTGACAAGACGCGCATCTTTAGTATATGTACTTACACCAGGTACATAATTTAAAAGTTTAATCTTAAAAATGTAGTCCTACGAAATCAGACGTATAAACCCTATATACCAATTGCGGGACGGACTGTCGAACGGACACGGTAAAACAATATGTTCCCATCATTTTGTCGAGGGAGCAAAAAATATATTAGCATATATAACGATGTTCTATTTTATAAGGCATTTAGTGGTAAAATATCTTTTTGAATAAGCAGTTCATAGTGGAATGGTAATTGGGAGATCTAAAATGTAGCAATGTAAGCAAGCTGACATCTAATTCATTTGGTCTTTGATGAAAAGTTGTCTCATTGGCAATCATACCACATCTCCTTATTTCATAATGGTTTGAGTTTTTTCCTGAATACAAGAAGTTTAAAGACTAACAAATAAGTACTAGGAGACTGAAATATGTAGCTGTTATATTTCAAATTTGACTTTTTTTGTGAACATGTGGTGTTATAATTTGATAAATTTGATACTTGCTATATTAAATATATTTATTCACTTTTCAATTCAAGAGACCACCGAATCTTTACTAAAACTACAAATTATCAGTAAAAAAACTCCTCCATCCTGCATTAGTCACGTGTTATGTAGCTGTTTTATTGTATATCTCCATTTATGCACACAAAGAAATAGCAACCCTTTTAATTTACATATATACTTACAAGTATACTGTCTTGTTGTAAAAACTCCTTATATGACTGCAAATACTCTCGGGCTTTTCCCGACGCCTATGTGAGCAATATGCCAATCCCCCAAAAAGGCACCTTTGCTAATCGTCTGTGAGTCGTTATGTCCCCACACTTTGTGAAAAAAGGTGTGTTTTTATTCAGCTGTACCTATACCTCAGTCATGTCCAACTTAAAACACCAAAAACACACCCATTCAAAAATTTAATTGGGAAACGGCGTGCATCATTATTAATAGATATAGGAAGATGTGGTATGAGTGCCAATGAGACAACTCTCCATCCAAGTTACAATTTATAAAAGTAAACCATTATAGGTCAAGATACGGCCTTCAACACGGAGCATTGGCTCACACCGAACAGCAAGCTATAAAGGGCCACAAAAAATTACAAGTGTAAAACCATTCAAGCGGAAAAACCAACGGTCTAATCTATA